CAGAACCTCTCGAATTATTAGTAATCTTTATTACCCCTATGACTTTGGCTATTTGATAGTCTTCACCCCTACATGATCTCATTCTTAGAATAATTATTTGGAAAAAAATAATGAGAATTTTGTTGATTTTATTTTCACATGTTTCACCCAAAAATGAGAAATACAATGTAGAAACACATAGTCATTAGATTTATATAAGATACAATAAGAGTTGTAACATTTTTTTTTTATAAAAAATAAGGTCAGTGGTCCAGGTGCCAAGTCTTGCAAAAAAGTAAATAACATAGAAAGAAAAGACTGGTCTATTTGGAAAACTCTTGTAATTGACCTTATGTTTTCATGTTTATTTTTCTGTTTCTAGCTCTTTTTTCTCTGTTCTTGATTGAGCTCTTCTAAGTGTGTCTTGTTCGATGGTGATGGAGTGGATGTGTCCAGATCTGGTGATTCTGATTGTTGTTGTGGAAAGCAGTGATCTTTATCCTGAATTCTTGGACCTGTGATGTGAATCCGCTTAAGATTGGTGTCTTTTATCGTTCCTTTGATTCAACTTGTTGTTTCCTATTTGATGATTTATTTGTACACTTGATATTCTTGTGTTTGTTGCACCTTATTGAGATGTATTTTTCTTGTGGGATTTCTTTTCTTTTGGCTTCTGTTTGGGGGACACTGCATTTACTATTCTTTTGCAAAAAAAATATTATTTCACCAAGGCGGAATAGTCTGGGAGATTCTTGTACTTGGCTCTGTATGTTGGACCCTTATACTTACGACTCTATCAACTGGACCCTTGAACTCAATGAAACACAATATATTAAACGCGATTGAACACATATGGCATTAATATTGTTGATTTGGAACGATGCGTAATTCCACGCGTTTTAAATCAAGTATGTGTAAAATTTATATGAAAAAAACATTAAAATTTAAATAATAAATAAATGAAAACACAAAAAAAAAAAATGGGAAGTCATGTTCTTCAAAGCAGCCTATTGCTGCTCCCACCCCCCACCCCAACCAAATTCCTTAAACCCATTCCACTTCTTTCCTTCTTTCTTTGGATTCACCCACCATTTCCCTTCTTCTTCTTCTTAACAACCCCGCACACTTTCCCACCCCCTAAATATTTTCTCAAAATTCTTTTTTTTTTTTGCTGCAAATCAATTTCCTGCCTAGTTCTTTTCGTTTTGCCATATTTATTTTTTCAAAATCTCAATTTCGTGCGTATTCTTTGATGGTAGTGGGTATTGAAAAAAGAAAAAACTTCATTGATAAGTTTGATGAAGCTTCAAGAATAATAAATGGGTTTTGTGAATTTATGAAATAAATTTAAAATTGTATAGAGATTTGTTGGTTTTGTGTTTGTGATAAAATTCAAGTAAAATAAGCAAGAATTCCACCCATTTAACATGAATTTGTGCTCAATTTGAGAGCAAAAATAGAGAAAATAATAAATTTCCAGGGTATGTTTTTAATTTTTATTTTATTTGTCTAATATTTAATTTCTTATGTGTCATTAAAAATGACGTGGAATCCTACGTGTAAATAAGTGTATCACACGCACACACATAGGAAGAGGAAAGAGTTTAACCAAATATTTTTAACCTAGTTGGACCGAAAGAGCATCACATATCATATTCAGTGGCAGATCCAGGATTTTGCTCGGAGGTTCAAAGTATAAAGAAGAAGTTCAGGTAGTAATGCAAGTGTGCGGTGAGCGTTGTAGCCCCCTCGGCCTACGTGGCACTATCTTCTGGGCAGCGCGTGTTGACAATTTTTTTAAGCTATCTAGTTGATAGTACCACGTAGGCCAAAAAGTGGTAGAAAATTATTTATAAAATAAGTTCAAAGGGGGTAATGGGACCTTAGTATAGTATAAGTGTGTCTCTGGGATTTCGGACATAGGTTGGGAGGTACTTATGCATTTTCCCTATATATATATTATATAGTTTGTGATTATTAGTTTAGACTATATAAATTAATCATAATTTTTATGTATATTTATTGGTTTGGAAAACAATTTATGTCAAAAACTAATGTTTAGTTAAGTATGCATTTCGTTTTATTAAATTAAAGTCATTTACAGTTTATTCACCAAAATTAGTCTATTATTTCAAATAAATATCTTACTATGTTACTCTGTGTAATTTATATCAAATGAATATTGGGGCATAACATAGCGATTACGAAAAATATTTTAGGATGTAAATTAAAGACTATTTTCAACTACTATCCTTTTGATTAGTTTCAAATTAGTCTCTTAAAAAAATATGAAGTAGTTAAGAACCTCACTAAATGAATGATAAGTAACAAAAAAAGTTCCAACAATTTTCTTAAACTTTGAAAAATTCACTTATTTTAAATTATGAAAAAATCTCTATAATTCACTTAATATGAAAACAATAATAATTAATAATTAAAAACCTTAATTGATTAATTAATTATTGACTCTTCTTGATTTTTAATTCAATCCAATTTTTATTTGGCTACAGTTTTTTATATCTGGGTTAGATTTGTATTGGAATATGCTACAACATATTTTAATCTCATTTACGACCAATATTTACTCGAGTTTCTCTTTTAATAATCCCAAAACACCAATTCCCCTACTCATATTTTCTTCCCAACACAGCCGCATAAAAACGAGCCCTAGCTCGACGGCGATTGATGAAGCTTCGTTAGAAGAGATCGACGAATCCTTAGCTAGCATTCTCTCCAACAAGGCGTTCAATTCTAATGGTAAACTCCTAAGCTCACCTTTTTTAGATTCCAGAGATTTTCATACGGGTTTTAGTTCCGCATCTTTAACAATACGAATTTCTAGCCCTTTCTCCGTCCTACTTCGGTTCACAATCTGAGTTTCTAGCACTACCTTTGTTTAGTTTCTTAATTTTGTTATAGATATAAAAGTAATGTTTGTTCTTTGGCATTGATTTTTCTTTTGTTAGTCTTTAGCATTTTTAGTCTTGTTTCCATTAGCAATAATTCTCTTTTTTAATTTTTATTTTTTTTAGTAAATCCTCACTCTTTTAGCTTCTTTTTGTAATTTTTATATATTATGGAGTAAAATGTCTGTAGATTCTTTATGTATCTAATACTGTACAGTTATAAACTAAATGCCTATTTGTTTTCTTTGTTTAATTTCAGCATGTCGTTTCTGATAAGCATCACCTCCCTTTCCCCTTTTGTGGATTACTTTGAATCTAGTGGCTTTAATCTTTTCGTGCCTGCTCGTATCTAGATTCTCGGATTTATTTTATTTCGAAGGGATGAAGTGTTTGGTAGCAAGGTCTGTTTGTATGCTCCATACCCTGCTCAGTCTTATTTGAGAAATTATGTGATCACATGTTAAGCCGAGTGTGCAATTTTATTTTATTTTTATCAGTGTGATTGCTTGTTTACAATCAGGATCTAAGCTGGTTTCCATCCTTCCAGATTTATAACCTAATTCATCAGGGTGCCTTATCTTCAACCATGATTCCCTGCATCCCTTCTTAGCTTTTCATATTATAGAAATTTCTGCTTGCCGTCGTTGGCATACTTGCTCTTTGTAAAGTGAAAACATATAGCCAGCTAGCGACACCACTTACATACTATCTCTTATGTCTCATCTTCTCGGTTTGCAGTCATCAAACATTGTTATACCAACAGTCTTTAACAACTAAACATGAGCATAGTAAGACATTGGGGAATGGAAGTGCAAGAGTCTTGGTACAATATAAGGGTATGCAAGTCCAAGAGTTGTTTGGTAATTGCATTGTGTCCCTATTCTCGATGACAACAAATTAATGCAAGACGTTTGGAAAAAGCTCGTTGTCCTCTGTAATATGCATCCATCATCAGTAAATTTTCCATGCCTAGTATTGTTTCCAGTTGTGGTGCACACTGCCTTGTTGATATTCTTTTAAAACAGAAACAAATATATATATTTTTAAAACAGTTGGTGATATTCTTTTGCTACTAAGTGAAACACCAAGATATTGTATAGGAAGGCTGCCTCTAGAGAACCTAAAATAGACAAGATTTGTTGTTGCACATCATCAGATAATGTGATCCGTATAGCATTTTCGTGTGAGTTTTTTTCATTGCCCCTTTTCCTTTGCTACCTCCTTGGTTTGACTGAGTCATATCCTTTCGAGATTAATTTTTTCACATCATCAGATAATGTGATATGTATAGTATCTGTTACATCATGAGTACTAAGGAGGTAGTAAAGGAAAAGGGGCAATGAAAAAACTCACATGATAATGTGATATGTATAGTATCTGTTACACATCATGAGATGATGCAATCTGTAATCATTGTTGGCGTATTTGTTTGACTTTTTTAAGCTAGTTTTATTTTAGGTGGTATTTTTATTTAATATGGCTTCGACGAGCTATATTAATAGCAGTAAGAAGTGGAGTTAGGAGTAAAGATAGATTTTGAGGAGTAATATATGTCATATTGTTTGTGATATTGGTAACCTTATGTTTTGCCGTCATTGAAAGAATGCCATCACTCTTTTAACTAACAGGAGATACTTCCTAGTTGTCTCGCCATTCATGATATGAGAAACACTATTTGTGCAGATTAAGATGGAATTCGGTAATGCACTTCGGCTTATTGGTGTTACTATGGTTGGCATTGTTGGGTACTCTATTGTTGGCAGAATGTCATCGGTACATTCAGATGGCAACCACAGGAACACCAATAGGTCAAGGTGCATTGCCAGTGCATTACAAATTTCTATAGTGCATTATAACATTTAGTAATCGAATATTTGTCATAAAAAAAGGCATGTAAACATATTGCGCATACCAAACCCTCAGGGGTTGGCCTGCTGGCAATTGACTTGAGCCTTGGGGTTTGCTCCCTTTCAAGGTCTCAAGTTCGAAACCCACTGGGTGCAAACAATTTCTGAGGGCCATCGGACTGGGTAAAACCTGAATTAACCGTGGTGCACTTGCGGGAAACTCCTTGCCGAGGGCCTGTGCACCCCCGGGATTAGTCGGGTCTCAAAGAGACTCGGACACCCGGTGCAAATCAAAAAAAAAAAACATATTGCGCATACCAAGCTTGTATATCATTTTTTAGAGAGTTAACCTTCTTCCAATACCAACTTGAATCTAATGGAGGAGTGTGGTCTCATATATTCAAGTTATTTTTCATATGTACTCCATGAATCCATTTCACCCAAAGAATATCCCAATTGTCATCTTAATGTACTGATCCGTCGCATCTAGAAACAAATGTCTCTTGGTAGATATACGACAAGTAACCCTTGTGACTGAGTACCAAAGTTGTTTTGAGGCTATCCTATTGGTCATGGGTGAGTCAGTTGTACTTTCGTCATGCTATGCATTGGTTCATCCACATAGAAGCAATACATCCACTTTACATCTGCCACAATCTTACGATGAGTGGTCGTATTGCTTCTATGTGGATAAACATATGCAAGGCATGAAGAAAGTACAACAGACTCACCGAGGACTGATAGGATAGACTCAAAATAACTTTGGTACTGAGTCATAATGGTTACCTACCGTAAATCGACCCAAGAGACATCTGTTCCTAGAAACCTCCCAAACAATAGATTTGATATGATAGTGTTTAGGTAAACATTTATTATAGTGACAGTCTAAAAACTTTGCGCATCTTTGGTCATCACTTGTTTTTGGATTTGCTGAACGGTCTTGCTCAGGCTTTCTTGTTCAGCACTCTTCTCAGCTCCGACTCTGCCAGTGCCACTGTAAGTTTAGCTATTTGATCGGACATAGCAGCAATCTGAACATCGTCAAGTGCCTCGGCTTGAATTGACGATCCAATTCCTTCTAAGCCTGATTGGAGTCGTCTTACATTGTTTTGAGATCCTAGACCATAGACTCTACCCTTATATGTCCCCCCACCACTTTTTCTTTCCAGATCTGGGTGGAAAGTTCAGGTGTCATTTCGACCGAACTATCTAGATTCTCAGCGACCTAATGCTGAAATTCATTCTGCATATTAAATATAAAAATTGACATCAAGATATATACATATCATAAATATTCATGATTAATATATGTTATTCATATTAAATAACTTACAAAAGTTTGTTCGGCTCTTTCCTCCACCCACACATCCAGATCCTACTCATTTTCTTTCTTCCTGACATGAGTCTTCTTGAAAACCTCAGGTGCAATGGGAGTGCGTCCCAATTCTCTTTCCTATAAATAAAAAATTGAAATTTATAACGATATATATGAATCAACTAATTATTTATTTAAAATTTTAGTAATTAGTAACTAATTACCATCTCTCTTGCAATTGTTCCAACAGACTTTGAACCTCTGGTGTGCAACGAGCCACCCGTAAGACTGCCTCTAGCCTTTTTGGCTTGGTCTGATATTGCCTTAAACTTGTCTGTGTTCCAATATCGACCCGGATCATCAAAAACATGCGGCAACATCCAATCCGGACGTTCAGCACTATCCTGAACTTTCTTTAGCCAAGCAGACAGTCTGGCGGATGACTTCCTCTCAAATGTGGTCGAAAGGACATGATTGTGCCTCGGCTCCCAAGTACACATAGTCTGAATAAAAAAAATTGAATAACGTTAATTAGATCGACAGTGAAAAAAAGTAAGTACACTAAAACTTAACTAAAAAATATATACCTTAAAGTTATTAAACATCACCTGCCGTTTACTGTTTGGGATCTCGCCCCAAGAGTGATAAGCATGTGTATATCGTCTCCTAACACAGTCTTTTAAAGCCCGGGCAGCATCCTTTGCCAGATGCCACCTGCAAAAAACATAATAAATATGTTAGTTCATGAATAATATATGAAAGTATAAGAAATAAATAAAATAAACTAACAAATAGATAACAAAAGAAACTTACGTTGATCCATCCGGCTTAATCATGTCTCTACCAAGTGTGTCCTTCTGGCCAGGAACTAGAGGAAGCATCTCATCTGGAGTAGCACTAGGTGTAGCTTTAGATGAGTGTGATGCATCAGGATGCACATAACGGTGAGTCAATGGAGGCGTACCAGCCATAGCATTTGACTGCTCGCTACTAGAATCTCTAATCCTCATGGTAGATAACTGAGGAGATGCACCTGTGGGAGATGGAGTACCTGCCGATAAGGGTCGTCCTCGACAAATAGCATGTAAAGGTAGGTCCTCGTAGTGTACTGAAGGCACTGCTTGTGAAGTAGAGGAAGCACCTATTGGTCGACGGTATTTAGGATAATATTGTCGAGGATCTGTCGTACCAAACGGAACAACAAGTATATGAGTATCATGGCTGATGCGCTGTGGTGCAGAAGAAATAGATCCTGCAATATCCTCAGGATCTATGGGTCTCCTAGACTTCTTCTTTTTAGCCTGTTTAGTCTGGCTAATTTCAACATGCTCGCGATGTCTATCACTGTCACCGCCTGATGACATATGTATGCAAATTTACATGTATAATATATATAAAAAATCATAAATTCAATAAAATTAGCAAAATACACTTACATATATATACTAGCTAGCTTTCATTCTACACTATTCCTCCTCGCTTGTTTCAATTCCATCATTCTCTCATTCTTCCTCCTCAGTTGTTTCATTTTTATTATCGTCCCATTCTTCGTCATCAAATGATTCATTTTCCTCATTCTCGGATATTTCTTCCTCAACATTCAGTATCTCATCATCACATACTTCTTCTAATATGTGTTGAGGATGTTGTAGTGTGGTTTCCAATTCAACATCAACTTGTTGTTGACAATTGCAACATCATTTTGATATGCCATATCTAAGACATTGTCAATTTCAATTCTTCCCACATGCTTACTTTTTATAACAACCCACCAATTAGCTTTGTCTCTACGCAATGGATATGAAGCATAATACACTTGTTTAGCTTTTGTGCAATAATAAAAGGATCATAACTTCTGTATTTCCTGGTGTGCTTAACTTCAATTATATTATGTTGATGGTCCACCTTTGTGCCTCTAAGTGATGGGTCAAACCACTCGCACCGAAACAATAAAATCTTCTTCTTAGGCCAAGCTGAATACCTCACTTCAATAATCTCTAGAATGACACCATAATATTCAATAGTTTGACTAGTACCATCAACATCACCTTGTATGTAGACACCACTATTATTTGTTTTCTTGTTCCTAGAAACTTCTTCAGTTTGAAACTTAAAACCATTGACACAATACTTATTCATTGTCAGTACTTGAGATTCAAGTCCAAGTGCTACTTCTTTCACTAATTGCAAATGTTGGACACTTGAGTATTCATCGTAAACATACGTGATTGTTATTTCAAGTAATATAATTTAGTATAACATGAATATATGATTAAATACTTAGTGATTGAACACTTACATAGTTCCTCAACCATTTGGAAAATTCTGTATAGATGGCTTCATTACCCCATGCGCTTACGAACAAGCTGATCATTTTACATTCAAGTATTTCGTTAGTTAATGATCACTTATTAGTATGTAATTTAATAACATATTTTTAATACATACTTGACATATGGTCGAATCTCTAGACAATTAAGCAAAATATGTATCACAACTGATTGCATTTCCATATCAGTGAAGCCTCGCTTTTCACACTTTTTAGATCCTCGATCATTTTGATTAAAATTTGATATCGGTGGAAATAAAGGATCAATATCGCCTTCATCATTGCGATTGGGCCTGTTTCTCCTACATGACACATCATCACCAAAGTAATAAGAATAAAAATCACCAGTTTCTCTCCCAATATGATCTTGAACAAATGATCCTTCGATCCTTTCCCTTTGCTTAATCGTTTGCTTTGAACTGCCAATTTTTCTGCATGTATATATGTATATATGTTAATATATAAAAGACTTGATGAATACATATAACTTAGTGAATATTTCAAATGGATACCTCTCAAATGGATACATCCATCTTGTTTGAACCGGACCTCCGAGGCGGGCCTCTTGTACAAGTTGAATTGGAAGATGCTCCATCACATCAAAGATACCACATGGAAATATCTTCTCCAACTTAGTAGTAGTAACAATAATATTTTCCTCCATCCTGTCTAAACTACTCTCCAACAACTTTTCAGAACACAAATCTTAAAAAAAAGACTTATCTCTGTGATTGGTTTCCATATCCTTTCGGGTAGATGACTAAAAGCGATAGGAATTAAAGTTTCCATGAATACATGACAATCATGACTTTTCATACATATTATTTTTCCTTCATTAATATCTGCCCGCTTTCCTAAATTCAAAGCATAGCCATCTGGCATCCTCAAATTTTTAACCCACTCAATAATTTCACGTATCTCATCCAATGTTAATGAAAAGCTGGCTTTGGGCTTAACTATTTTTACCATTCTGTAATTCCTGCAGCCATAACTCTTTTCTCCTACAATATTCTTTTATGTCCATTCTAGCTTTTGGATTGTCTTTTGTCTTACCCTTAACATCCATCACTGTGTTAAACAAATTGTCAAAGTAATTTTTTTCAATGTGCATCACATCAAGATTATGTCGTAGCAGATTGTCCTTCCAATACGGAAACTCCCAAAATATGCTTTGTTTGGTCCAATTATGTTCAACACCATATCTAGGAAGTCTAGAAGGTGAAGCTTCTGTAACTTTAGGTAATTGAGAAAATCTCTCCCAAATTTGATTTCTTATAAGTAATGGAGGTGGGGGGTCACTTTCAACCTTATTTTTCCTAAATGCATTTTTCATCTTTCTAAACTCATGGTCCATTGGCAAGAACTGGCGATGACAATCAAACCATGAATTTTTTCTGCCATTCTTTAAAGTGAATGCCTTACTATTTTCCATGCAATACGGACATGCTAGCTTTCCAGCTGTCATCCAACCAGACAACATCCCGTATGCAGGAAAATCATTAATAGTCCACATGAAAGAAGCACGCATAACAAAATTCTGCTTAGTTGATATATCATAAGTCAAAACGCCTTCAAACCACAATTGTTTGAGCTAATTTATCAATGGTTGTAGATAGACATCAATCAAACTTTTTGGATTAAGGGGACCTGGAATAACACAACTTTGAAAGATGTAGGGAACTGAACTGGGATCATCTTTCCAGCCAGAGTCCTCTTATAACGAGCATGTCCACAAAACTTACAATTTTCTAATTCACTATCAGTCTTGTAAAACAACATGCAACAATTAACACAACAATGAATTCTATCATACGTCAATCCTAACTTGGACACCAAACGCTTTGCCTGATAGAAGTTCTTTGGTATGTTAAACTCCAGATTAACTAGTTCACCCAAAAGATCAACCATTGAGTCCATAGCTGCATTAGAAACATTCCAGTCTGATTTAATATTCATTAATCTAACTGCAACTGACAAGGCAGAATGCGGACTCCCTTGACATAGTGGACGACTAGACTCTTCTAATTGATCATAGAAACATCTTGCTTCTTCATTAGAAGCTTCATCAAAATATTGTTTCGGTTCCATCCCACTTTCAACCCTGAAAGCATCATTGATCATTTCATGAACCCTATCATGTTCAACCCTAACCTGTTCAACCCTAATTTGACCATGTGGTGCAACCATATTATATACATCCACATGCATCAAATTATAAAACTTATCATCGAATCCATCACTTTCTCCATGATCAATCCATACAAAATATCTAGGCTTAAATCCATTACGGTACAAATGAACTATAACTCTATCTGGTTTAAAAAAATTTTAAGCACTTACATGCACTACAAGGACACCTAACCAATCCATTATTCTTGAAAATGTCAAGTGTCATTGTATGTTCAATAAAATCTCTAAC